GTAAAAGAGCGCAGTGAAGTCTTAACAGTTATGTAGTTAGCTATAAAAAATACATTTTAATTTAGCCCTAAAGAGACTATTAAATCTTTTATTGTTTGTCATCTTCCCTTAGCTCAGGCACAGACACCTCTCTCTCCCCAGTGCCTTTCTCCATCCTACTGATGTCCTCCTGCGATCTCCCATTGTTAAGGGCTGGTTATCCTCCAGCAGCAGTGAGTCACAGTGAGCTTGTAGCAGATATTTTTGATTTATGCCCAATATTGAAGCGTGGTCTGTGCTGTTATTCCACGCCACACACAAGAGGGACAATCAGGAACTAGCTGTGGGTCTAGATACGGCTAAGACGGTGAGGAAGTGGGGGCAAGTTTGTGCGACAACGGAGGGACATGAGGGCGAAAAAGAGCGGGGATCCAGGTGGAAAAAGTGTCCCAGCGTTCTCGCGCACCTCGCTCTTCCAGCTGGTCCAACTTCATGAGTCTTTTTCCACAATGGCGGTCATACAAACAAAACAAGCTGGTAAGGAACCAAACAGGAAATATGCATAGTGTAGAGCGGATGTAGATTTGACCAATCAGAGGCCTCCTGTCTGCGGTCACCTACAGTTTTGGAGAGGTACAGCAGAGTGTCTGCAGAAGGGGCGGGGCATATCTGCTTTCACTGCGACACACACGCAGATGACCTGGTTTCTGAGTATAAACCAGCCTTCAGCCTCCAGAGCTCCAGAGAAAGCTGCTTCCAAACCCCTGTTCTGGTGCTCTCTAGTCCGATCTCCTGCTGTGATTCCTCAGATTCAGAGAGGGACACAGCTGGTCGTCTCTTCCTAGTTTAGGTGCTCTCTCTCCTACGGTTTTTCCCTGCTCCTCCTGTCTGAGTCGCGTCTCACTTTACCTAAAGCTCCACTGAAAGCGGCTGATCCATCCGTTGCTCCTGGACTCACAGAACTGGGAGCATCCCTGGAGGATCTGCCAAACCCAGGAAGGCCGACGCCTTTGTTCGCCTCGCCAAAGCAAATAAAGCACCGCGAACCGCTGCGTCCGCCATGTTGAGGTGAAACCAACAACTAGCAGATTTGATGACATACTGAAGCCTTTTCACTCGCCAAGTTCTGGTCGGGTTTGCAATCGATGTGAACGTTACATTAGTCTCTTTGTTACGGGAAAATCTATGAGCATCAAGGCTCTGAGCTCCACCTTTTCTCTGCTCTTTAAGCGTTCATGTAAAGAGCTGCTAAATAAGAAAACTGCTGCGAAAATCCTCTTGCATTTTGACTCAACATCTCAGCCACTGAATGCATTTTCAGTAGACCAGCTACAAGATGGGAGGATTTGCACCTATATCGACTATTGACCATCCATCTTAAAATAAATCTGATTTTATAGAGAATTAGGAAGAAAATGTAAGCTGCTCAATCCTTTAAACATGGCCAAAAAAAGCCTTTCTGTAAGGAGTGTAGATCTTTCCCTTTATTGGATCTGTCTAGGAAACCCTGGTCCTCTTTACAGTCCAGGAACTATGTTACCCTAAATGCACCAGGAAGCGTCATCACAGATCCTTCCTCCCAGCAGCTGGAAGACTTTATAACCACCACTGTTCCCAAGAAACTCAAAAATATTGTTACATTCATGCTGATTTTGGACAGTTTCCACCTTAGTGAGTTAAATAACCTGCTGCTGTCATTCTGCACATCTCTGATGTTGCTGCTGTTTTCAAATATCCATTATTGTAAATATGTCCATAGCTGTTTATTGGTTATTTATTCTCCAGGCGCTCAGTTTTATATTGTTAAAACACTTTAAAGTACAGTATTTTATTGTTTATCTTTTATCTCTTCACTATTATGTTATTCTTATACATTTTTCTAAGGTCCAAATTTGTGTGACCATTTTATCTATAATCTTTTTGCTGCTAAAAACACCAGAATTTCTCTCCGTTGCGGGACGATAAAAGGATTTTCTATTATATTCTATATTTTACAGCGTTTAATTGTTATGCTTGCAGACCAAAAAAATAAAGAAAGAAATAGATTACCATCATTTAAATTTATTTATTTAATTGTACCAGTAAGAAATGTTTAGCATCCTCCCATCATAAAACTCTCCACCAGAGCCTTTTCCAGGGGCAGATAATCTGATTTGGCCATTGCATCCTATTCCAAGTGGAAATAAAAGGGCTGGAAGAAAAGAAAGAAAATCAGTGGTTCCTAGAAAAGGTTTCTGCAGTGGAAACACCTTAAGAAAACCAAATCTCCAGGATTTGGCAAAGCTACCCAGTATTTAGCAGCTCTCCAAGGCGGATTGAGAGCCTGCTGTTTTCCAGCAGGAGGAGGCTGTGGAGAGCTTAGGATCAGCCTGGAAGGCTGCATGACTCAGTGTCTCATATTTTCCCGCTGACCTGCCTCCAGGCCAGCGCTCTGGGAGCTGGGAGACAGCGCCTGTGGGCTGCAAGGAGGTGGAAGCCGCTCATAAAGAAGCGTTTTGTTTTTCCTCCTCTCACGGTAGCAGCACCCTGCTGGGGAATTCATTAGCGGCTGACATCATCTCACTCTGTGCGAAGTGAAAGAATATCTTTCTACCCCAGCTCTCCCCTCCCACCGCCCTCCCTCTCTCCCTCTCTCTCTCTCTGCCTCCTTATGTACCTTTGGAGCGCCGCTGCGCCTCCTTTTGCGCGCCATATACGCAAAAGATCTCCGTGCGCCTTCAGCCGAAGCTTTTCGGAAGCCCCCGACACACGAGTGTGTTTATCCTGTGAAGGAGTGCTGCTGAGGCTGGATCCTGGAATCAGGAAGTGGGAGGAACCGGCCAGTCTCTGGATGAATGGGAGTTTTTTTTTTTTGGAAGCGGATGGGAAGAGGCTGCTGCGCGCCCCTGATCGGGAAGGTTTTTTTTTAGACACAACACCCAAACCTGAGCGGGTGTGTGAGTTTGTCCCTCCCCGCTTTGCCTTGATGTTTCTGCGCTGAAGGAAACGCGCTGCGCGCTTTGTTGGATCGCTTTGCGCTCCGAACCTTCCGGATCCTGATTGCTACCTTCTTCACGGATACTTCAGACAGGAGAATAAACGGGAACACGCACCCTGAACCCCTCCGCTTAAAGGGAAAAATAAAAGGGATTTGTTTTTTGTTTTGTTTTTTGAATTGTTGTGGCAGAAGCTGTGCGGAGACGCATGGCTCCCTTTGTCCAAAAGGCGCAGTAGCTGCAAGCGGCTCTGGATTCGGTTTCCCTGGAAAGGCTTCTTGTCTCTGCATGGCTGTGCTCCGTTTTAAGGGAATAGACTTCACCGCCTCCTCTGTGGATTATACTCTTTAAAAAAAATTATAAAAGCAGAATGTGAAAGAAGACTATCTGTTCAAATCCAGTAAAATCTCACTTTTCTGCTTTTTTTGTTGATAATCTCACCAAATCAAAGGTATGAGCGCATTATTTCCAGGATATGAACGTTTTAACTCGAAGTATTGTTCAGTTTATATTAGATGCACATATATAATTTTGCATAAAGCATAACTGAGCTTTTTTCTTGTTTATTTGAAAGTATATTTTTGCGGCAACTGAGCAGCAGCGCGGTGCGCATCCAGCTGTCAGGACGCGGCGGGTCGCTGCGCTCAGATCGGGTGTCTTTGACATTTCCACCTTAAATCTGAGCGGAAATTTTCCTCCAAGACATTTATTAGAAAAGCATCGAATTAAAGCAAAGCAGCTTTTCTCTCAGTTGAAGCTTTATAGGTTTGTCTCCAAATATCTGGAACTTTTTCCATTCACTATTTTTCGGTGTAAAAACGATGCTACGCTCTGCTTTCCTAAAACAAACCAAGCTTTTGTTGTTTAATTCTGGTTTAAATCCCGTTTCCCTCTTTAACACGCCGTCCCTGCTGCTGCTGCTGCTGCTGCTGCTCAGCCAGGGAAGCTTTACGCAGATCAGCGTGTTTTGTCACGGAGCAACAGTGCCACCAAGTGGTGAGAATCGGAAAGACCGTCTGTTTTGTTTTAGAGCATCTTCTGCTCCTGCTTAGATTGAAACCCATTAAAAATGAAGCACATCTTGTGGAATTAAGTCATTTAATTTGCTTTAAACTCTTCTAACTCTTTATTTTAAACAAGTTTAGGCTGAATCTAATTTCACACCCTTAATCACACACTTTTAAACCTTTTTTTTGTTTATTTGGTTGCAGAGAGCTTCATTTGTAAATACACACAGATTTAAGTGCACTGAAAAAAGTAATGCATTTTTTTTTTGCCATTTACTTAATCATATTTAGTTATTTTAACACATTTTTTCATGTAAGTAGGGTAGGACATAAAGCAATTGTGTTAAAGTAAATTAATATGATTAAGTAAATGCCAAAAGCAGTTGCATTATTTTTTCAGTGTGTGTTCTCAGTTTACATGCTTTAACATCAGGATAATCACTTAATATTTGCTGTAAGCGGCTGCAATATATCATATTTTGTAACACGGTTAAACAGAAGAAAAGATAATTTAATATAGAAATATAACAAAAAAAACATATAAAGTGTAGTTTGATAGACACAATTTTTTTTTCGCTTCTTCAGTTCTTCTCAGTAAACAGAAAAATTTATAAAAACTGTCAAAAATATGCCGTTATTAGAACACAAATATTCAAATAAATCATCTTAAATTTCATGTTTTCTGATTAAACTCACCAGAAATAAGAATAATATTTTAAACACAGTGAAAGAGTGAATTGTTTGACATTATATCACTTTTAAAAGTATATTTCTGTTCTTTATTAATACACAACATTTGCTGCTCCTGTTTATGTGACACGTATGGGCATATTAAGTTACCGATGTTTGATATGGGAAGAACGGATCTGATGGTGGATTTCTTGAGCTAGAGTCTCTCTTCTCTGTGTATTATTTAACGGTTATCTGTATTAGGGGTCAAGAGATAACCTTAGAAAATTTGATTCAGACTTGTTTGGAAAAGGGTTATATACATCTCTTATTTTTTGTGCTAATTTCCTTCTTGTTTGTTTTTTTTCAGGTTTCCGATGCCAGTTCAGAGAAATTTTTCCGCACAGCAGCAATTAAAGGTACAGATTTTTTCCCCATCTTCTTCAATGTGTCTGTGAAGGTGCAGCTCTATTCCTGCTGATTTTCCTGAAGGTTTTATAGGTTTCTAAGACGACTGAAATCTGCAAACATTCTTATATAAATGCTGTTTTTCTCCTGTCAAATATATGCATCCAAATTCGGAATTTCCATCATTTTAAGTCTTTAAATGCATTTGCCAACATCATGCTTTTTTGTCTGGTGCATGAATGGAGAGAATCTACTCATTCTTTTATTTCAAATGACAACCCTCCATCAATCTACTGCTTTTTAAATTTTATTTTATACGTTTGATCCCTTTGAAATTGGTCAAGATGCACTGATCTCAGCTTCATAGGGCTGCATTGTCATTCTAAACAGATGTCACACTTATAATCCATTTAACCCTGGAAGAGCAAAGCTGAGAAGCAGCTTGACATTTTTGACACATGCGTCTGACGTTTATCATCCATAAAAAGTTGGAGCTGTAAGCGCTCCGAGGCGTGCCAGCACGACGCCGTGTATGAAACATTAGCGGCTTCGGTGACCTTTTCCGCGGCGGACAGCAGGGCGAGCAGGAAGAGGAGGGTTTTCTGATCCTGCAGGGAGCAGGGCGAGGGCTGGAAAAGCATATGTTTACGGTCTCAGTGTGCCAGCACCACATGTGACCTCATTATCGAGTCACTAATTTGCTGTTAAAAGCAGCCCTATTTTCTCTGGCTTCGGGGATAATGGAGGATCCCTGCCTGAATGGACATTCCTGCGTGCAGGGCGGGAGGGGACACTCTAAAAACCGGGGTTATGACCTCGTCATGCCTGCAGTTGAAAGAGGGGGCAGACTGCCGACCCCCATGAAAGTTGGTTTCCCTTCGCCGCTTGATTCTCGCTGTGCAACGAGCAGCTCAATAACCTTAACGGGGAGGTTTCCCTTTGAACGTGCTCCTCTGTGGACGGATTTGGATCCCCTGAAAGGATTAAGGCCTCTTTTGTGCAGCCTAAACCAACAGAGGGCCACCCTCTCTTCCCCCTCAATCGGGGAAACAGTTCACAAAATCTGCAGCCTCTCTGCTCCCTGATAGACCAGTCTCTTGGCCCCTATTTGCATTTAAATATCCCTCCTTTTCTTCCTTTCCAGCGCCGCCATCTCCTCCTCCTGCCATATGCTAATGCATGTTGCCATTGCAGGAGGCGAGTCAAAGAATCCAGGTGCACGGGGAGCAAAGAGCTCTGGTATTTTTATGGAGGCCGGTGTTAGGATTAAAAGAGTCGGGGAGGTTTTTGTTGGAAGGGATTACCAGCGCTCTAATGCAACCCAAACTTCGGATAAGCAGCAGCTCCAGCAGAATAGCGACAGAGAGCTCGTTTGCGGGGTTCTCACTGTCAATATTTGCCTAAAGGCAGGTGCAAAAAAAGTCCCTGTTTGTTTGCAGGATCAAACTGGATTCTTTTATGCAGAAAGAAATTTAAATCTCTCTAATCCTTCGCCTGAGAAAGTAAATAAGAGGAAAAAACAAAGCAGTATTATAATAATTGACCTGATTAGTGATGTGGTGATGATGTCAGCGCTGCAGATCGGGCTAGTTAAAGAAGTTAAGTCTAAGATTTAAATGAAAACCTTTCATTTCTGGGAAACAAACCAAAAAGGAAAAATGGATTTAAGATGCAAAACTAGCGTCACGGTGAAACCATGGTGATTTGGACCACATCGCATAACGTAATGTGAGTTTTAGAGTCACAACGAGGTTGTTTTCATCATCCTACTTTCTCAGCTTTTCCATCTTTGGTCCATTTCTTGATAGAAGAACCAAACCTGCTCCAGGACTTATTGGTTTATTCATACCTGATTAAAAACTGACTATTTAAAGCCGTTTTTCATGATTTTCTTAAACTTTAATTGAAGAAATGTCTCATTATAACGACATGGAAACAACATCCATTTAAGATATTTGATTTGTCTGATGTAAAGATAGTAATCTTATCATTTTATTAAATAAAAACTTATTTGGTGGATTGATTAGGTTTATCGTGGCCATTTTGGTATTTTGAGTTTTGAGCTGATGTCATTTTTTTCCTATTAATTTGTTTCCCTTCATCCATTCAAAATATTAAAAAAAAGAAATTCAATATGTTCTCTGAGAGAAAAACAGAGAATGAAGGGATTACAAGATTATCCTCATTTATGGATCAAAGTCTCTAACCTTTATCTGCTTCACATTAAAGCTGAACAGAGTGCATCAAACTGCAGGCTGAGTGGATTCAGTTATACTCAGAAAAACACTGAGGGGATTTAATGAATAAAGCAGTGCAAAAAGTATTTTCCCTTGATTTGAACAAGCAAAGGAGACAATTTTCCATTAGAATATGATGGTTTATCTTTAAAATAAGAAAAAAAACCACTTAATGATCGTATTTTAAAGGGAAAATACTCTTTCTATTGGCTGAAACTCAGAGCAAATTGAAAATTGTTGTTCAGGTTTGTGACCTGCTGCTCATACATTCGATCTGATGGACTGGGAGATGTTCTGCTTCTGATTCTGGATGATTGCTGCTGTCTTTGTAATGTTAGGGGTCCGAATCTGTCATATTTCAATAGAGCAACTCATCCTAACACTGATCAGAACAACAAGCAGTGATAACAGGACCCATATATAACAATAAAATTGGCTTAAAATCTACTTTTATCACTGTTTTTCTGGAAGGATGTGGAGTTTATTCCCCCCTGCAGGAGGTTGCTACAGTGCTTTTGATTGATCAGGGGCACCAATGCTTTCACATCCCATGTTTTCCTCACATCTGGTGCCGTTTAAGGTGGAGCTTAAAGTCTTTAATGGCTTCAGTGTTTTTCACTTCAGCTCCTCTTCGCCCAGGAATGGATTTCATTAGCTCCGAGTCATTAAATGTTATCTCTAATTACCACGGTTGTCGATGCACCTGCAGGTGTCAGCTAGCTAACCTGATTTATTTACTCTGCCCGAGAGCAAGCAGCAGTCTGAGAGTCTATCGGCCGCTGGAGAAATAAACAGCTACTCTGAAGTCTGGGACGTTCCCAAGCCGCCGAGGGCGCAAATTCAGAAAGAGAAGCTTGTTAGAGAAGAGACCAGGGAGACAAAGCAGCTACGTATGTCGCCTCAAAGGTCTGCGGACGCATTTGTCAGGTGATTAAAAGCTGTGTCCCAGGATCACGTCTGCCGGATGAACGTTGGACTGAGATGCCAGGATGAAACTCTAAACTTTGTCCAGTGGGATTTATTTTCATTTGTGAAGATTTTCTCATCAGTGAGCTGCACTCTGGCTGATCGCATAGATTATTTTAGAATGTATAATTTATGATCCACTGATTGGAAAAGGAACCCTGGAAAAAATATATTCATCTTGGAATATTTCGGTCCAGATGAAGTGCGGTCGTTTCTTTTCTGTGGGAACATGAGAAATTGCACCGATCGATCAATCAGCAGGTCCAAAGGCTGAAACTCTGATTATTTCCTCATTTCCATTTGAAGCGCCATAAAAAGAAATCCCTGCAGCTCTTTTTTATGTCAAACATAGAATGTCTTCGAGAAACATAACTAATGTTGCACCGATACCAGTATTGGGCGGGGCCCCGACCCAGCACTAAAATGGTGGCATCGGTATCGGCGAGTACCAACTAATAGGACACCAATACCATTTAGAGAGCCAAAGGTTTATTCAACTATTGTCACCCATTCCAGGTAGGAAACAAAAAGTTCTACTGGATTCACTTTGTCGTTTTCCTGCTTCACAAAGGAAGGCAGCAGCTTAGCAAAGCCATGATGGAAATTATTTTGCATCCAAGTAGGATGCAGTTCTTCATCAAACAGATGGTGTCGGTTTCAGCCAGTACTGCACAGCCAGTTATCGGGTATCGGGGCCATAAAAATGGTATCAGTGCAACACTAGTTAAAAATCAGCATATCAGCCTGATTTCAGGTTAATGTTGACAACTTCCAGTTTAACCATCGTTTGTACTGAGATGTTCTGGAAAGAGCCATAAGGGAGCCCAGATGTCAGACAATGGGACGATATGCTCCTAATAAAACTCAGCATAGCGACGCTGGGATATGCTGTAAGAACCCTGTAAAATAAAAGATCCTATACAAGTCTCTTTTTAAACCAAAGAAATAAACTTTTAGTAATAAATCCAACAAAACTTTAACGATGGAGAGAAAATGGAGGGAAGCATGTCTTTATGGACCGATACAGGAAGAGAAAACGATGCATCGGTCGATCTCAAATCTGCAGGTCAGACTTGGATGAAAAACAGAAACGTTTGTGATTCAGGAAAGTTTCTGATTGGTGACTAGAACATAATTTTGTATGAGGTCATGAAAATATTCAGATCTTTTAAAAGTATTGTGTAGGATTTTCCCGAATTTTTTAAAAGACCCGCCCTATCCAAAAATACGCGTTTAGGAGTGAACACCAGCCCATTTCTCCTCATGCTCGCTCTGTTTAATAGATGCTGTTTCGCATAGATCAGGCATCCCCAACCTCGGTCCTCGAGGTCCGCTGTCCTGCAGGTTTTAGAGGTTTCCTTGCTCCAGCACAGCTGATTTTAATTGAAAGCTGATTAACAGGCTTTTGGTCTACAGCAATCAGGGAAACCTCTAAAACCTGCAGGACAGGGGGCCTCGAGGACCGAGTTTGGGGATGCCTGGCATAGATCATTCAAGCTTACTGTGTCCGAACGTCCGCCCTAACCCCTAAATCCCTCAATCACTTTACAGAGCGTTCTGGGATAGATCATCCTCTTCTGAGGCCTTTCTTTTCTTCTTAAACACTTCGTATCGAAAATGGCCGATGGTTGATGGTTGGAGAGGTGAGCTTCAATGACTGTCTGAAACCGTAGCTCTCCACAGATGCACGCCTGAAAGTGCACAGGCGCGGAAAAATATAGCTAATTGGACGAGTACGTAGGATGGCCTTACGTAAACATATCACCAGAATGATTGACAGTTAGGAGGACCACTTATTTAGATGATCC